CCCACCGGGTTTTTCCGGGTTTTTGACTGGGTCGTCCGGGTTTCCAGGTCAACCCGCCGGGTCGTCCGGGTCACACCGGGTCATAGCTTACCTTATTTATTCATCATTTTTCATCAACCCGGCCCGGTTCCAGTCTCGGGTCGGCCGGGTCCCGGGTTAACCCGCCGGACCGAGCCGGGTTTTAAAACTATGGTTATAATTCCAAAACGGGAATGTTTTGTGGTTTTTTGGGAGCAGGAGAGGATAAATAAATTAAAATTAACAATATTTTATTTATTTATTTATTGGAGAAATAGAGTTGAATTTAAAGTTTTTAAATTCAATTATGCCTTCTTAATTTAAAATCAAAATTCCATCTCGCCTATATCTTTTATTAATATAACTGGACATTATAAATGTATATTAATTATTTTCTTATATAAACAATGATTATTAGTGAAATGGTGCGTGATTAACCTAAATATATATGCTATAGTGTTATTTATCATCGATTATATATATATATATATATATATATTTCAAAAATAAAATAAAACAGAAAAAAGAAAAACCTCTTGTGAAAATTTGGATAAGCCACGAGGGTATTATAGTCATTAAACCACTTCCCTCATTAACCCCAGCTGATGCATGGAACTAAACCCCCTAAACCCCCCTCTCCCTCTCTCACTATTTATAGAGAGAGAAACATACACTGAGTCAACATATCTAGTGAGAGAAACAACCCAGAACCCAACAAAACACAAAACAAAACAAAACAAAACCCAGTTTTCTTACAGCCTCAAAAGCATGGCCACTCACTTGCCTGATGATTTCAGGTGTCCAATTTCTCTAGAAATCATGTCCGACCCGGTTATTCTCTCTTCGGGTCACACCTTTGACCGCTCCTCAATTCAACGGTGGCGCGACTCCGGCCACCGTACTTGTCCAATTACCAAACTCCCCTTGCCTGAGCACCCTCGTCTTATCCCCAACCACGCCTTGAGAAGCCTGATTTCCAGCTTCACCATCCCAAAATCTCAACCAGACCCCGACCCGTGTCGGAACCTGAACCCGGACCAATCGAAGAAATACCAAACCCAGCTTCTAATCTACACTCTCGTGTCCCCATCTTCGACGCTGGAGTCGAAGCTTCACTCGCTGAGTGAACTCACTAGACTCACCAAGCTGGACTCGGGACCCCGCCGCCAACTTACCGAGTCCGGTGCTGTCTCAGCGGTTCTAAACTGTGTCAACTCGACCGAGTCGGAAATCCAAGAGAAAGCGCTGGCCCTCCTCCTTAATCTCTCTCTGGATGATGATAACAAGGTGGGCCTTGTCGCTGAAGGTGTAATTAGTCGGGTCATAAATGTTATCCGGGCTGGGTCGGCAAGTTCTCGGGCCATCGGTTGCACAATTTTGACGAGCTTGGCTGTTGTGGAAGTAAACAAAGCTACAATCGGAGCCTACCCGAATGCGATAAAAACGCTTATTTGGGTTCTTTATAGTGGCAAAGGGCGTGAAGTGAGAGAAGCAGCCACTGCATTGTATGCAATTTGTTCATTTGTTGATAACAGGAAGCGCGCTGTGGAGTGTGGGGCTGTGCCAATTTTAATGAAAATTGGTGGGATGGGGCTGGAAAGAGCGGTGGAAGTTTTGAGTTTGTTGGTGAAATGTAAGGAAGGGAGGGAAGAAATGAGGAAGGTTAATGGGTGTTTGGAGGTTTTGGTTAAGGTCATCAGGAATGGGAGCGAAAGAGGGGTGCAATGCGCGCTTTTGACGTTGAGTTGTTTGTGTTGTTTCGCTGAGGAAATGCGTGTTGAGGCGGAAAAAGAAGGGGTTTTGGAGATTTGTGTTGGGTTTTTGGATGACGAGAATGAGAAAATTAGAAGACATGCTTCAAGTTTGGTGCAAACTTTAAGTGGTAGGGGGTAGCATGAAGAGATTGTTGGTGGAGGGTGAAGAGTCTTTTGAGGGATGGAGGTGGATTTTGGGGTTTGTTTTGGGGATGTGGGCTTATTTGGGTTTGTTGGATAGTTTCGTGTACAAACAAAGGAATCAGAGGTTTGATAGGGGATATTGGATATGTTTTTCTTTTCTTTTCTTTTTAGTTTTGTAAATTTTAATAAGTCAAATCTCTGAAATTTAATGGTTGTAGTTGAAAAGGTTTCAAATTGGAAAATTGTCTCCAATCTACTTTTAATTATTGCCATTTCCTTTCCTTTCCTCTTGTTTTTTGAAGGGTTTTACAGTTTTCTTGATTTTGATGTTGGCAAAGGAGCAAATTTATTGATATGGCAACTGTTTCTGTTCTGTCAAGTACTGCGATTGAAGATAGTTTGAATGCAAAAGGAAACAATAAGATATGGTAGCTATGCTGTTTCTACGTTATAACATGTTAAATCGGATCCTTTTAAGCTCAAGCCAATGATTTAGATGGCATTTTCTAGAGTTTAAAACTTCAGCTCATCGGCATTGTTCAACAAATTTGCCTCATCATTGCTGTCATTCCTTCCCACCGATGGTCTTGGTGCTTTCTTTATTTTCTTGAATGCATCCATTGATTTACTCTCTTTTTCGCATTTTTGACCTTGCTTGGATTGCTATTGTTTGTTATGTTGAGACTGCAAGGTAGGTTATGGGATTGGGATGAACTCTTGCTCCTGTTATCTATACAATTGTGCATTGACATACCGGCATGCTTAGGTATCATGATAGTCTGCTCAATACTATAGGTCTTATGTTACGTTGTTTAATGTCTTGTGTAGATATGAATCTATGGATTTAATGTCTTGATTAACAATAGTTGTCTGATAGCCAGGCATGTGGATGTTAATATTTGCAGAGATTTCCTTCTTGTCCCTCAAGGGTTTCGTGTTGTTGTAACTTGGTTTTCTCATAGTCCAAATGATTTTGCTGAAATGTGATTATCTATTGCTCCTTTTTTTCACTGATCACTGCCATGTTGTGTTCCATTGCTCAACAATTAAATCCAGAAAATTGCTTGCTTCGGGAAGTTGCAATGTTCCCCCCCTTTTCCTTCGAGTATTGTTTAGCAACTTTCGTTGACTGGTTTAGTTTCATAGAGCTTGTTTTCAATGAGTAGCATGCTTTAATATCCTTAGCTTGTGTGAAGTGTGTGCCCGTTATCTTGACCAGTTAAAGGCATGTATATACATACTCATGCATTTACAAGTGTAGGAAGGATGGACTTGTTATTGCAGTGTAGTCAGCCTGAAAGTAAAGATTAGCTGAAAGGCATTCAATGCAGAGATTAAATGAGGAAGGGTGGTTTGGCTGGACCGTCAGAATACTATTGTGTAAGGTCTATTTGGCTCAAATGCATATAAACTCTAGGATAACTGCATGCTCTCTACATATAAGCTACACATAAAGCTTAAATCTACTGTTAAGTTGCTGTTGCCGCATTGGTTGGCAAGTCTTGGTTTTGTTTATCATTCTCACAGGAAAACTTCTGGTGAAGTTGGTGATAGCAGCTTGATAGTGGTTTAGATCCTGTTCAAGTCACAGGTAGTAGCAATGAAGCATCTTAAATTATTATATTTATAAAACCGAGGAAGCTTCTTTGTTAGCCAATTTTGACTTGGTCGGCAACATGTTTATCCTGCTTTGGGTAGAAAGCCGGCTGATGACATTGAACATGCGAATGTGTCTTTGGGTGTAAAAGTCGATGGTGAATTGGATTTCTTTTTGAGAATAAGAGGATAAACTTTTCTTGTTTTTGTGTTGAATATTTAGGTAGGCGTGGATTAAAGTAAGTGGTAAAAGAAGCATCAAGCCGAAGTGAATGTCTCCAACAAGTAAAGTTCCTGCTTTCACTTTGGTGTCTCTCTCATATTGGTAGAAAATAAGAAAGGGCCATTGAGTGCTCATCCACTGGTGTCTCTCTCAGCTGATTTGTCTCTCATCTTCTTTAATATTTCTCGACTTCTTCCTTATCCTTTTCTTTACTTTACAGAGACATTCCCCAACAAAACAAACTGCAATACCGATGCAAAAATGCCAGATTGGAACGAAGCAGGGCTTCCAATGGGATTTTGGATATTTGAGTTGTTGGTGTCCCCTCAGTAGGTTGATGAACTATATGATGGTAAAGTGTTCACTACCTCTTTCTGGTCTGTCGCCATCGAACACATGTTGTCTAGCGAGGGGCCGCTGAATTTAGCCAAAGCCAAAGTAAGGATCGAACTATATGCAAAGATGCTCTACTATCTCTTACAAAAATAAGTAGCTTTTGGTACATGGAACATGATTGGATTGTACAGGACCTTCATGGTTATTGGTATTTCATGTTTGGTGCGACCAGGACAAAAATAGTTCTTGTTTCGTATCATGTCCCCTGTTTCTATCCTCTCTCTTTCGTAGAACTGCATGTTCCATGTAGTTTTACGCAGTTCCATCCTGTATGATTTTCGTAGAACAGATGGAAGGTTACTGATCACCAAGTTAATCTAGTTTAATTCGGTTCAAATTACAACAACATTGTTTTGAAGAACTTTAACTGGGTCAATCAATTGGATTACAGATTGGTTTTTAAGAAACTTGGCCTGGATCATGAGTCAAGATTTGGGTCGACTAAACAATCTCGAAAGATGAACCGAGTTACATCCATTGAGAGTCAAATAACTTAACACTCAAAACAAGGCATCCACCGAGAAGAGCACCCATCACCAGCAGTGCAATACTTGAAAAATTGACTCCGTGAGCCGACCATGCCGTAATGCTATTGGATCTAGGGTTCTTTGTTGTCTTGTGTGCTAGGGTTACGATTTCGGGTCATCTCTCTACTGCTTAGGTATTATAGGCTTCGGGTGGGTTCTTGGTTTGATAGGCTTGGCCGACACTTCTGAGGCCCTTTATATGCCCTCGAATTTTCATATTAATTAAATATGCTAATTATTACTAAATTAGATATTATACTTGATAATTTTATTTTTTCTACTTTACAACCTCTTAAATAAACCCAAAACAAATCTAAGAAAACTTGAAGATAAAAGAAAAACAATAAAGTCCTAAGCAAAATAAAAATAAATAAATTATAAGTATAATATTTATTTTTATAAATTAAATAGAAATAGATAAAAACAACTAAAAAGTTTTTTTTTCCTTTTCCTGAAAAAGCCTCCTCCTCCATCAATTTTCCAGGCCGCGTTTTCTTTTTCCCCCCCCTGAAAGAGCCGCCGCCTCCATCAATTTTCCAGGCCGCGTTTTCTGTCGCAAGATTGCAGCTAGCACCGATCTCCGATGGGCTACATATGACTCAAATGATCTTACAGCTCTATGCAAAGAAACTGAGGATTTGAACCAATATTTTTCTTTATAAAAAATTAATTTGCAAATGACAGATCTCAAGCTTAAAACATAACTCCACTTCTTTGCATATAGAGCTGACCTGGGACGAGAATATGCTTGTCTCCTAGATCTTCTGTTTTATTAACAAACACTAAAAGGTATGGTATTTTTACTGTAATCCATGCACCTCTTCTGGCTCAGAGTGGATTGTTGTCCTATTTTTTTATTTTAATCATTGAATTTTTTTTCTTTACAATTTGATCCCTATATGATCAAATTGATAGCCAATTGCATCTAATATGTTAGAGAATGACAGATTAAAAAATAAAGAATCAAAGTGAAAAGAGCAAGGAAAATAGATAATTGTTTTCAAATCAGCAAGAAAAGTTTACTTTGATCATCCTACCTTTCAATTAATATTTTTTTGGTTATTTTAGTTCTGAAAAATTCAATCTTGAGCTAAAAATTTATTCTTTTTTTTTTGTTTTTAGTTTGAAAAAAAAAAAGTTACCAATTATTCTTTTTTTTTTTTTGTTTTTAGTTTGAAAAAAAAATTTACCAAATTCAAGTTAAAAAGAGGAAAAATCATCGATTAACACCAATTTCAACAAAAAAATAATAATTTTATTATCAATTAGTTTTTTTAATAAGAAAAGTTGCATCAAAGTATTTTTTTTGGTATTTCTATCATCTAAGAAGGTAAGTAGAAACTTATAATATTTTTAAATTTGAGTTGATTTTAAGTTTTTAGACTAATTGTAGTGTTTTAAAGCTATAAATGAATTTATTAACGTTTTAGGGTGTTTTCAATTTAGATTCATTTACGTCTTTTTTAATTAATTATTTAAATTAAAATAATTGATCTAGATTAACTTGATAATTCATGCAGTGATTACCCTAACTTTTTTCTCAAATCAGTACTCAGATAATGGAAGACAGCTATGCTAAAAAGCCCAGGATGACAAAATCATTCCTTGGCCAGGGCATTTCTCCAGTGTTTACCAAAAGTTTATTAGTTCTTGAAAAAGGTTTTTTTGATTTCTTGAAAGAAGAGTAGGATCATATGGGCCACCGTACGCCGGCCGACCATGCTGTGGTTTGAGTGGTCAATCCTATAAAGGGCAAGAGACCTTCCATTATGTTATCCTCTCAAGGGCCAACAGAGACAATTACAACCACCCAAGAAAAGCAAGATTTAAATCCATCATTGTGGATTTGAAGGCTCAACGAGTTTTTTTATTAAAAAAAAATAAAAGGAAAGAGACGATAAGACATTTGGTGTCCCCATTTAAGCAAGCAATTGCTCTACTGGGCATAATGGGAATGTCACTGCCATGCTTTGGAGGCTTTGGTGGATCTAAAGTCATTTCTCCTCACACCCAATCCGGCCGTGTGTCCAAACTTGCCTGCAAAAAGTTTTATGTGTATAGTGAATCGGGCTTTTTTTTTTAAAAAAAAACAGATTAAGATATCAAGAACATTTGAAATTAGAGAACCACATCAATTTAGAATGCAATGATGATAATAATAACAATTTTTAGTTGAAAGACACTTTAAATTTTCAGAAAAAATCATTCCTCAAACCTTCCATTTATAATTTTCACGGAAAATTGTTTATTAAAAATATTCATTATTGTTAGTTCTCATTTTATGTTACCTTAGCTTTTATTTTTTGTTTTAAAAAAATATTAATTTATTTTTTATATAATTTTTTGATAATTTAGATATATTGATATTAAAAATTAAAAAAACAATCATTTTAATGTATTTCAAATTTATTATTTAAAAAAAAAACACTCTATCCTAAGTTACCAAAGAAACACGTACGTATAATTATGCATAATCCAATTAGGATTTGATGGTAGCTAGCAGATGGGATGTTATTTGCTTTCTTCCCATTTATCCTCCTTGTCAAACAAGAAAAGTATGGCTTCATTGTTCCATGGACCTAATTTCTCTAGCACTTTCGTCACTTGAAATGCATCATACGAAAAACAAGATTTAATTATAGATTATTCAATGAATTAATTAATATTTTTTTCTTTATTTCAAGACAATTAATGTGGGATGATAAAAGGTAGATTTATATTAATTAAGCTAACAAAATCATTGGTGCTGAAGAGGGAATGCTGAGCCAAGCAGACAAAAGATGACACAATAATGGTGTTTAATGGCTTTATAATTATAGTAGATAGATTGAGTAAAGGGGATGAAATTGAGGGCGTGATAGAGTGGTATTAATTACGAGGAGAAGAGCACGCTTGAAGACAGAGGGCATTGATGCTTCTATCTTTAGATCTTCTCTAGGGCAGACAATACATTGGTTTCAATGCCTAGCATGAATCCCATCCTCTTGCTTAAACAACATTTATCACATGTTTACCTTCTTTCTTTTTTTCTTTCTTTTTTTACTTTGAAATCATGTTATGCTTAATAAGTATTACTTGGTGATGCTGTTGAGGATTTGAGATGAATGATAATTTTATCTTGATACGATAAATACCAAATCAAATTAGCTTGAATGATAAAGTAAATTTTTAAGTATAGAATTGATTTATTTAATTGATAATAAATTATATATAAATATTGTTAAACTCGATCTAAATCTGATGTGGGATGCATTTTTATATATTATTATTTTCTTTTATGTTGAGTAATAAATTATATTTAAATAATAGATATCAATATGTATACCTGGTAAGGGCTGAATTAGAGGGAAGCAAGCAGAGGCTCGGGACCTCTACAAAATATTTTAATTTTTTTATTTAGTATTTAAATATGGAATAGTATGATATTTTTATATTAAATAAATAAGTTTTTAATAATATATCTTATTATATTAATTTTGACTTCTTCTATCAAATACTATTAGTTCCACCTCTGTGAAATCTAATATTTGATAGCCTCTGTGAAATCTAATATTTGATTATTCAAGTTATAAAATATTTAAATTTTTTACTCATTGAATACACCTCTGTGAAATCTAATATTTGATAAAGTATAAATATTTAAATTTTTTACTCATTGAATACTAAATAAAATACAAATATGATGAAACTCAAGTTATAAATAATTATTATTCTATAACCATGTTAATAAACATTCATTCAAATAGATCATGTTTTCACTATCTTAAAATCAGAAATTATTGAAGGAATATTATGTCGGCATATAGTGAAGATTTGATCGGTATTTTTCATTCAAATAGATGAAATTGATAACAGAATACTATTATTAAAAAATTGCTTATAAGAGTTTTATATTTCATTGATATTGTAATTTATCAATAAAATATTTTATTGGCATTAAAAAAGAATATTTTATTAATATTTTTTTTGATGTTTTTATTTTTTTTAATTGTTTGTTATAATCCCTAAACCAACAATAATATCCGAACTTCTTTCTCCATGAATGCATCAAACAAAGGAAGAAATACAAAGCTTATAGTTTCTAGTTGGTACAGATTTGTAGACATGCACGACCTAAGATCAAAACACTCTCGAATGCATATAGTTGCTAATTAAAGTGAACCTGCTAAAGATCATAAATTCAATTATAAAAATGCAAGCTAAAGTACCGACTGACCATAAAATTAAATAGGACGCTTGGCATAGAAGTTTGGATCCTTCCCATAAATATCAAATCATGCATACCATTATAAAAATCTTAGAAAAATATTACCTCGAGTTCTTATTAGTGTTATTAAACCTGGCCCGGCCTTGCGGGTTGACCCGAGACCCGGTCAGCCCGGTGCCTGGACCAGTTCGGATTTAATAAAAGACCGGTTGTGACAACAGCTCAGTCAAACCTGGATGGCCCAGCAGGTCAACCCATGACCCGGGCGATCAGGGCAAACTCGGATGAGACCCGGTTTTTTTTTTTTTCAAATATGATATTTAAAACCCATTAGTATATATACTCTATATTCCCAAGAAAAAAGTAATATTTTTTCAATGTAAGATAAAAAACTATTTCATTTAAATACTTCAACTTAAAATGATAATATAGTATATTTTCAATGTGGAATTTGAAACCCTTTCGTATAT